TTAAACTGTATATTTATTATATAGTTAGTACGCGTGCGCTGATTGGTCAAAACCTTTGCTTCATTAGTGAACAGAGCACAGTGCTGCGACCGTCTTTCTTAATTTTGCTAAATAAATTCAATAACAAAATAAAATGAGTAACTACTGTTATGAGGGCCAACCAGCCCATATTATTATTGTATAAGTTGTTTAGTTGTTTAGAACTGAGCAGAACATTCTAGAACATTCTAGAACATTCTAGAACATTCTGTAACCTTTTACTTGAGTTATGTTAAAGAAAACGTCTAGAACCCTCTAGAAGCATCAATGCTTAGTCATTGTGATTCAGTACATTTACAAAGAACATTCTGGAATGATGTAATAATCATATTTAGTAATATTGATATGTCTATATTTAGAAATAAATTAGGTATATAAGGAGAACAGCCAGAATGATGAGTTTAGCCTTAGTTAAGTACAAGACTTCATTTAGTATATTGTCTACAGTCTTGGTAGCTCAGTGGTCAAGAGAGCTTTACTATAGAACAAGAAGAAGAAGAGGAACTAAGAAGAACAAGTGACAAGAACTAAAAAGCTCTGGAGGAAAGCTATTAAACTGTTCGTAATAATTAGATCAACTAAGTTTAGACTAGATTACTAGATTTTGTCTAGCTTGATCGTATTTTTGTATCTAAAATTAGCTTTGGTGTTATTAAAACGCATTTGAGAACAGTTATCTGAGTCTTCCGTGTTTCCTTGCAACTCATGCGTAACACTACATAATAAAACGAATGAAACAGCACTTTTTCCGTGCTCCGGCCGCTCAGCTAAAGCACACTAAGGGACAAAATTTTGGTCAAGTTTGATAACTGTAGATCATCATAGAAAACAGATTATCAAGCACGAAACTCAAGTAGGAATCAATTAAACAATTAAGAAAAGTAGGTCTGTGCTCTGAGTGTTATTTCTAGGAATACTTGCATAGGCTCGACATTTTGGTTCAACATTTCACAAAGGAGAACAGTAACGCGTTTCCAAGTTAAACAGAATCAATTGATCGGTAAGCAAGAAACGTGTTCTCTGAACCAAAATGTCAGTCCTAATGGTTTGCTTGAGATTAAGGTCGACAGCTCAGCACGTGGAGTTGTTGGCCATCTGAGCAAACATTCTATTCACTTTTGACATCTCTAAAACTTTTGTTCTCTGATAGTACTGCATAATCGGGTGTGTCAACAATCTGTTGACATCCCAACTTTAGTCTCAATAATCTTCTTCATTTTTGTTTCAACCTAGAATCACCTTCAAGTGGTAATTAGTTAAGTTAAGCATATAGCGACTATTGTAAGATCTATGCAATATGAGAGT